CATGCTAGACGATTTTTTTCGGCTAACGTAAAAAATTTGGTTCATTCTTTTTTTTAAAAAATTTCCCTTTGGTATTGGTTTGATTATTTGCAAATCAAGACACCGAAAAATTTTCGAACGAGTATAATTTAATAAAAATTTATATATAATATTATTATTATATATATATATATATATATATATATATATATATGAAAGATATATATATTGTTTCAAACGCTATTATAGTGGATAGTCGTATTTAAAAAGACGCCCTATTTCTATTTGAAATAGTGTTCATTGTGTCTATCGGCCTCCGTATTCGAGAAATCTTAACGGTGAAAATGTACTTTCTGGCGCGGATCGAACCTGCACCTTCGTCTGTAGAAGAAACTTTCGTGTAATCCGGCCCGTTTTACCGTTCGGCTACAGAGAGCACCAAAGTTCAATAATCTATTATTTAGCAGTAAATAACCACTATAATAACGTTTTGAAATAATAAAAATGTCGTATTAAAAATAAATCTAAACCAATTCTTTAATAATATATTTTATATAATCTCTATCTCTCTCTCTTTTCTTATTTCTCAAATATATATATATATATATATATATATATATATATATATATATATATATATATATATATAAATTAAAATAATAAAAAAAAAACAGTAAGATTTATAATCTGGTGTTCTTAAAAATTCCAATAGATCATATAAAAACAGTAAAGCAAAATATTATAATTATTTTCTCTTTAAAAATATGATTCCATCGTGACATAGAAAATTTTAAATGTTTCAAAAAATGAAATAAATTTATAAAATTAAAATTAAATTCCACAGTCTCGTTCCATTGTCAAGCGATATTAGGAATAAACTTTCAAAGAAATTTACTTAATTTATAAGCACAGACAATATTATGAGTTGTTAAGGTTAAAGAAAATCTATTTTAATTTAGGGCTGGTTGGGTTTTAATTTCCCTAGACAAAAGTATGTATCCAATATTTACTTAATTTAGTCAGGTTAAAGTTTTCAAATGCCTTCTAACAAAATTTTAGTTTTCCATTGTTCAGTGAGTCATTTTCAATGATAAAAAAAATTGTCATTTTTATTCATCCGCTTAATTCATATTTTTATACACAAAGATTTTGTAAAAGGGACATTTAGATATGTGAAAAGTAGAGTCAAATAGTGTTATAAAAACCGCGGAGTATTCCAGTAAGATATCTTTAATAATCTCCAAGATACAACGGTTCATAGTTTAGTTTAACAATTGGACAATTTTGCTTTTACACGATTTGGAAAATTTTGCTGTTCCACCTTTTATATATATATATATATATATATATATATATATATATATATATATATATATGGATTATTGAATTGTTTCCCTTGCTTGCGTCGTATCGTAACGGCCCAGGTTCAAATCTCGCTAGTGGATGCGCACTGCTGATGAATAAAATAGGGACGACGAAACCGCCGTCCAGTGTTTTTTAAATTCTGTTGAGGTTTTTTAGACTCGATGAATTAATTTTAATTATGATTATCTCAAATTATCCTAATAATTTCTATCCTTTCAGACAACCAATTTCTAATGCTTTGGATGGAGCTTTTATAAGCACAGTAATTTCGTGACTCGTGGGGACACAGTCCTATGGATAATGAAAACTCGGATTAGTTACAACAAGGAATTTGTGAAGATCGGTGCTATATTGAGTCTAATTCGTTACTTCTTTGTTACTGAGGCCCGTTGGTACAGTTGCTATGAATTATCCGCCGTATCGTAACAGTCCGGGTTTCAATTCTCGCTTTGGATGCGCAAATGCTGATGAGTCCCAAATAGAGGACGAAACGTCCAATTTCTTTGCATTCTGTGGATATTCTTCCAGACTCGATGAGTTAAAGCTAGATGTTTCTTTCAAAAGTACTCCTAATAATATGAATCTATATATATATATATATATATATATATAAATATTTTTTAATAAATAAAAATAAATAACACTAAAAGTAAACTGGAAAATTATAAACAATACTAGAACTTGTAAAATATGTGATGACCCATGCCCTTTATGCCTACATGAAAAACTACACATTTTTAAGTTTCTAAATAATAAAAAATTATTAAACAATAGAAATGAGTTAACGGTTTTTTGCCGACATCATCAAATTTTCGCATTGAATAATTAGCTAAAAAACAAACAAACAAACAATAAAATAATGCAATAAATTTTAAAATCCATAGTCTAAATAAAAAGTTTAAATAATACCCTACAAAAAAAAAAAAAATTTTTATGAAGTCGTCAAAAAAACAAATGTTAGCGAATTATTTTTTTTTTTATATATACAAAACCCTTTCAAAAAAAAAAAAAAAAAAAAAAAAAAATCTCCATAGACACTTAACCAGACATCTTCCGCTTTGAATTTAGACACCCCAGCCTTACCCTGACTTGACCTCTTTGAATGTAACTGAGATATTGGTATAAATTATTAACCCTTATGCCCTGCTTTTTTTAAATAATTGCTCTAGCCGTTACCATAGTAATTTTAATTTTAATTTTAATAATGAATATGCTTATAAAACGCGTAAATTTCAGAAATAAGTTATTCTAAAAAAAAATTTCGCTTGAAGATGGAACAGAGCTTGGTACTTTAATTCAATTTAATTCAAATAATTATATTGAAGTTTTTCGGCTCTTGTTTTGAAACATGAGAACTCTTATGTAGCGATTGGAATCATATTTTTAAATAAATAATTATATTTATATCTACTTTTGTATCGAGCGCTATTTTTTTAAAAAATAATAACAAAAATACTAAAGAACTTTGGATTATTTACCTAACCAGTTCTTTCCTATTTTCTATATATTTTCACAATATATGCTTTTGAAAAAATAGATCAACCGTTGGACAAATCTTGACTGGTGGATTATTGAAAGCGTCAGGGCAGAGGGTCAACAGACCGCCTTACTTTTGGTAGCTTTCATTAAAGCCTTCGATTCTGTACACAAGAGATAATGGAGAAGATCCTTCTAGCATATGCCCCTTGAGGCATTAGCTGCAATAATGATGCTGTACAGAAATACCAAATCTTTGGTTAATTCTTCAGGCGGAGGCATTAGCTTTTTCGACATCAAAACAGGGCTCCTTCAGGGTGAAATCTTTGCACCTTTTCTCTTTGTTATCACCCATGACTATGTATTGGGAATTTCTATCATGAAACATTATCATCTAGGTTTTACTTTGTCCCCAAGACTCTCAAGTCGATATCCTGCAAAAAAGTTGACCGATGTCGAATATACAGATGAGCTAGCTATCATTGCAGAGATCATTACCAATGCCACATTCCTCCTACATCATCTAGAAAATGCTGCTAATGATGTTGGACTCTATGTCATTGTTTCTAAAACTGAATTCATAAGCTTCAATCAGCAAGGCTCAATACAAACTGTCTCAGGTGAGTCAATAAATCTCGTCGAATCTTTTTACATAAAGAGAAAGCGAAATTAATTCTACAGAAAAGAATGTGAATATTCGCATAGCTAAAGCCTAGGACGCCGTGAATAAAATGGATGTAATCTGGAAATCTGATCTACCAGACAACTAACTAAAAATGGAGATACTTTAGAGGTACTCTCGAGGTGGTATCAATGTATGGTGCCACTCCTTGGACATGAACTAAAACCCTTAAGTCTAATGAAACCCAAACTCGGATGGTGAAAGCTATACTTAACATCTTTTAGAGACAAACCCCAACATAATCACAGCTCTATGGACCCATGCTTGATATTACTACAATCTTATGAGGACGCGGAATACACCTTTGCAGGACAATGTTGGCGAACAAAACAATAACTCGAGAGTGGTCTACTGCTCTAAACACCTAGACCACATACATTATTGACCAGCTTTGTTATAACAAAGAAAAGCCACCCTAATGACCTTCCAACCTTGATGCAAGGTCGTGATGGCTGGTGTGACAGACTCACGGATGTCCGAGCTAGCTTGATCGAATAATAATAAAAAATAAATGTATGTGTATATGTGCGTGTGTGTCTGTGTGCGTGTGCAAACAAATACTCCTTTTTGCTTTGATAAATATATTCCTACATTCATATCTGACAGTATTTCTTCCATACATAAAATACACGCACATCCTCCCTTATATATGAGTAAAAAGTCAATTAAGGTAACCAAAAAATAATATTAACGCAACTGACAGCATATAATATGAAAATAATCCATAGCTTTGTATGAAGCTGCATCGATCTGAGGAAATTATATCTTTTTTTCGCGGTTTTCGTAAAATAAATAAATAAATAACATAAAGTGAGAATGAGAGAGAGAGAGAGTGAAATAGCGTAAAATAAAACGATAAAATTCTCTTCAAAATCTCGCGAGACTTTCCATTCATTCACGTTGATTTGAGTTCAATTTTTAATCTGCTTTACGTTGCCTTCGGGCCGACATTTTGAAAATAACAATGACGACAAGAAGAAGCGAGCAACAAGCGATTCCCATTTGGTCGCTATTTTTTTGTCAATTGTGTCGTCATATTAACATCCGGGTCCCACGGGCAAAAGTCTTTGTGTTCGGATTTTCAAAGTTAAATTATGAAACGGAGCCGACGGCAGAAGCATAAATGAAAATTGATAATTTGCATATCATTTGCATAAAGCCGGCTGGAACTAGGAAGAATCAATGAGAGCCTAGGAAAAAATGGAAAGGATAAAAAAATGGAGGATACTCGATATAACAGAAGAAAATATATGTACGAGAGAAGAGGGAGAAAGCCGTATAATAAGAGGCAGAGAAATAGGAAATGAGAAGGGGAAAGAACCGAAATAGAGAGATGGAGTAGTTGAAGTGGAAGAGAGGGGAGAGAAGGAGAAATAGAGGAAAAAGAGAGGGAGTGTTTCGATAGCGAAGATTTAATCTAAAGAAAGAGAAAAAAGAAAGAGAAAAGGAAAGGTTAAGAGAGAGAAGAGATAAAAAGTATGACAAAAGAGTAAAGCAATTAGAAAATTAGAAAAAGAGAGAAAGAGGAAAAGAGAGGCAGAGAGAAATAGATAGATAGATAGATAGATAGAAAGAAAGAAAGAAAGAAAGAAAGAAAAGAAAGAAAGAAAGAAAGAGAGACAGAGGAAATTAATGAAGAGGGAGGAGTAGGATTAAACTATAAAAAGAGGAAAATATAGACGTGAAAGAGAAAACACTACTAATAAGAAGAAAACGAAGAGGTAATAGAGAGGAAGGGAGAAGAGATAGACAGAGGGTGGGGAGAAGAAGAGATAGATGAAAAGAAGCGAGAAAAAGGAGGAGAGATCGAGGAAGGTAGCGGACAACGAAAGAAATATAAAGAAAGAGAGAGAGATTGAAGAATAGATAGATAGTGAAAAGCGAGAGCGAGAAAAGGATAGAAGAAAGATAGATGAATAGAAAAGAGAGAGAGATGAGGAGAAGGAGAGAGTTGAGGAGGAGGAGGAGGAGAGAAAGAGGGAATGAGAGATGGATACATACAGGAAGGGAAGGGAAAAGACAGAAGGAGGAAAGGAGAGACAGATAGAAGAGAAAGAGGGAGGTGAGAAGTAGAAAGAGATTGAGAGAGCGGTAAGAGAGGGAGATGTAGAGAGAGGAGGAGGTTGAGAAAATAGAGAGAGGGAAGAGAGAAGCGGTAGAGAAAAGTAAAAGTGAACATTATTTATAGAGTCTTTGTTTTAACAACTTCATCTTTTCTTGTTCTGATCATTGTTTCGGTCGATACATTCTCCGGCCTTATTCAGGTGTTCCATTCGATAGTATTTAATATTATCTCTTTTTTTCCTCAATTTTTTCGAAATAATAAAGACTACCGGATGCAACATATATAAAAGACATTGATATATATATATATATATATATATATATATATATATATATATATATATATATATGGAGAGAGAGAGAGAGGGAGAGAGAGAGAGAGAGACGGGGAGAGGCATCAAGAAAAAGAAATAAATAGAGAGAAAAGTCGAAAGCAAAGGGACAAGAGACGGAGAGAAAGAGAGATAACAAGATGAAAGCGAGAGGTAGAGAGGAAAGAGAGATAATTTGGGAAACAGAAAGAGGGCAGACAGGGATCGTAAGAGAGAAAAAGGGAAAGAAAGAGAATAAGAAAGAGAAAAGAAAACAGAGACAAGGAAAGAAATAGGGAGAGAAGACGAGAGGAAGTAAGAGAGGTGAGAAGGGAAGAGAGCGAGAGAGAGAGAGATAGAGATATATATATATATAGAGAGAGAGAAAGAGAGAGAGAGAGAGAGATAAACGGGAGAATAAGCAAAAAAAAAAAAAAGAGAAACAGAAGTGGAAATGGAGAGAAAGAGAAAGAAAAGGGACAGAGAGAATGAGAAATGGAGAGAAAGAGGGAAGACAAAGACAAAATGAAAGAGTAAAAGAGAGAATGAAAGTGAGAGAGACAAAGGGAGGTAAAGGGGGGCAAAAATAGAAAAGCGGCGAAGGATATAGAGAAAACATAGTGAGTAAGAAGGTGAGAGTGGGTGTGAGAAAGAGAAAGAGGAAGAGAAAGAAAGAAAAGTGAGAGAGAGAGAAAGAGAGAGGAGTACAGAGAGAATGAAAGAGAACAGGGAGATGCTGAGAAAGGGGAGAAGAGAAAAGAGAAAACGTAAGAAGGCACTTAGAGAGAAAGAGAGTGATCGAGAGAGAGAGAGAGAGAGAATGAGCAAGAGAAAGAATAAAAAAGAGAATGAGAGAATATGAGATATATATATATATATATATATAGAGAGAGAGAGAATAAGATAGAGATATAAAAATAAAAAGTTAGCAACAGAGCATGTGTCTCGATTGTAGCATTTCATTTGTGGATTTTAATTAATCCCCAAACTTGAGCAAGTTGCCAACACCCGGCTTCTTTTAAAGAAGGCCGCCAGGCTTTCAGAAATCCGATTTTCGAGAGTTTCCTATAACATCTCGCGAGACTTTGACCTGCGCTTTTGTTAGGCCACAGGCAAATATTTCACTAAACACTTTCTTTTTGTTTAGTTTAAGTCATTTCAAGTGAGTCAAATCAAAATAGATGTATCAAATGTGTTAAATATTATTCAACCATTTTTTGTATTTTATTTTCTTTGGCATTTTTTTAAAAAATTTTTATTTATTAGATTTTCTTTTTTTTTTTTTCCTTTCGTAACATTTTCGATTACCGGCAAACATTTCCCGCGTTAGTAAATATTTTTCTCTTGCCTCAACCTTTCAACTATTTACTTTTCAATTTATTTCTCAAAGGCAATATTTCTTTCTTTTTTTTTTCCTTCCTTTTTTGTCGTCCATTCAAACAGTTATTGAATTTTCAGCAACTCCTTAGCAATGTACAATTCGTCACTTTGGCATTTCAAAAAAAAAAAAAAAAGAAAGAAAAAAGTTAAATTGATAAATTTATTTGAAAGAAGTGGGATCAGAACGTGTATTTTTCGGGAGGAAATCTTATAACAGAAGAAAATCATTTTGGCTTAAGAAAATGGATAAAGTTTGCCGAACTTAAATGAAAAAAAAAGAGGGGGGATTTATTATTTTAGTTTTTGTTTCCTGTCAATTTATTGTCTTTATTTTGTATTTTCCTCAAAGTGCTTTGCTGAAAATTAATATTCGAAAAAGATAACACAAGAAAGTGCATTGCTTTTAATTATGGAAGGCCAGAACGGGAAGAAAAACGATAAAAAGCTCTCAATTTAATAGAACTGAGCGCTTGTTAACATCATTTTCAATGAATACCGTTTATCGTTCGAAACATCTTGGCGAAGTTTCCGTCTTATTAAATTAGCGTTCCACTTCAGACGAAACGAGATTTTATCAATTACTGCTTTGTTTCTTCTGCTTTTTCTCCCTTCAGATGCCAAACATCTGCATATATATATATATCTATCAGAAATTTTATTTTATTTTTAATCATAACAAACTAGTAATATATTTTTTTTGAATGGACCAAATAAAAGAGAAACAAATTTCTAGTGATATTTGGTTTATTCCAGCCATTGTTTGGAGGAAAATAAATACCCCCCTCCGCACCCCCCCCAAAAAAAAAGCAAGATTATAAAGATTGATTCCTGGTCCTTTTTTTTATCCTTCTTATTAAAAACTACAGGAATCCCTCGATAAATGCGGCTAATCTGAACATCGGTAACTATAAAAAAAAATCAGTCTTCAATTACTATGGTTAAACTGAAGAATGTTTTACCGCACTAATCAAGTATTATTTAAACACTAATCGAATTTTTATATATATATATATATATATATATATATATATATATATATATAATATTTTTAGAGTACTATTCGAATGTGGCAACCTCTCTAAAAGAACGAAAACACTGTATCTGAAATCGTGGAGAAGACAACTGGAAACCACTATATATTTTCAAGAACGCTTGGCAAATCGCAGATAAAAGAAACGTTATGAAGAGATATGGCATTTAAAAAAAAAATCCCTATACGTCTAATCGAGAGATAGCTGCATTTGTTACTTTATGATTAGATATCATCTGTAGGAGTAATTAATTTGGTTAGATTCGGTTTGTTTAACGGCATATCAACACCTTATGTGTCATTTAATACCGAAATTTAATTTTCTAAGGAGCTTTTTTTTTTCAAAAATGTATTGCTGGTAATTTTTTCCTCCCTTTTCAATAATGTACTGAAGGTAATTTTTTTTTTAACTATGAAAATGCATTGTTGGTTATTCTTATTACAAAAATGTATTTTTTATACTTTCATAATATTTTAACCCCAGTTTGAGCGTTCACTCTTTACCCATAGCTGGGACCCCCCCCCCTAACAGGTGCTACCCACCAGATGAGGGTGTATCTGGGAACAACAGCAATTAAGAGGTGGTTCCACGGTATTTAAAATCGATCAGAGGCATTGCTGCCGGATGTAGTTTATCGTCATACCCAGGAGTCATTAAATAAATAAGACAAATTTCTCATTGATGCTGGCGCTAACAAATCACGTTAAAGGATGTGAGGACACTCCAACGGTTATTGGATCGCAAAGTGGAATCGGCGACTCGAGTTCGAATTCCAGCTTCGTCTTTCTGCGTTCACTTTCGCAAAAATGCCACCATGAATAGGCGACCCGAGTTCGAATTTCAGCTATTTCCAGAATAGGCATGAAAACATTTCATTCTCCCTACTCGCTTAAAAGTAAAATGACCGATTAAAACTGGACCCTCGAACATTGGGCGGTAACCTCTCTAAGAGAAGGAAAACTCTGTATTTGAAACCGTGGAGAAGGCAACGAGAAGCCACTATATATTCCCAAGAATTCCCAAGAATGCATGGCAATTCGAAGATAACAAATAAACGTCCTGAAGAGATATGGCATTAAAAAAAATCCGTACACATCTAGTGACACAGCAAATTCTAGCTAAGGAAAGGATGTATTTTACCATCAACTGCATTTAATAACAGTATAGAACTAGTGGATAGCGGCTCAGATTGAGGAATCGGAAAAATAATTATGTGTAAAAAGAGTGAGAGAATCAGTCATATATAGAATAAATAAAGGGTGTTTCATTAAGACGGATCAAAGTCAGCAGTTAATAATAAGCAATTTCCAATGGCACACAGCCGCAAATGACATCACGAAGTTCGAACCAATATCTACTATAACGCAAAGAAGATATTTAGCTGTTTCAAAATTGCTCCTTCGTTGGACTCCCATTAATAAAAAAAAACTTAAAAAACACTTTTAAATCAGTTTATTTCTATTAATGTGGTTTACATATTATTGTATTTATTAGGGTGTTTGAATAACTTGAACCGTGTTTGTATTGTATTTATTAGGGTGTTTGAATAACTTGAACCGATTTTAAATATGAATTAAGTTTAAGCGGCTAATGATTTTTTTCCTTTTCTTTCAGATTTAACAACTTAAGTCTTTGGCAATTTCAACCATGGAAAGATTGACAATCAAACAACGTGTTAAAGTTTCAAGAGTGCAATTGGAAAAATTGTTCGTAAATTTAAACAAACTGGGTCAGTAGCAGATGTGAAAACACCATTGCGTGCTCATTTACGCCGTTCAGCAGAAAACGTTGCTGCAGTGCACGAGAATCCGGCCGAAAATCCAAACACCTCTATTCGTCATCGCGCGCAGGAACTGAACCTCTCCACAACAGCGTTTCATCGAACTTTGACAAAAGATTTCTCTCGACACGCTTACAAAATTCAATTAACACAAGAACTGAAACCTGCTGGCCATTTGGATCACCGTACATTCGCCATTTGGGTGCAGAAGCAAAGACCAGCCGATGAAGATTTTTCGCAAAAAATCTCTTTTACTGATGTGGCCCATTTTCATCTTGGTGGATTCGTTAATAAGCTGAATTGTCGCATTTGGGCTGATGAAAACCCAAGGAAGATTGTTGAAAAGCCACTGCATCCACAAAAGGTCACTGTTTGGTGTCCATTTTTTTTTTTTTTTGCTAGCGGAATCACTGAACCGTATATTTAAAAATTAGAACGTCCATTTTCCTAATAGACTTCGATAACTATAACATGTTTGATTGTTAATCTTTCTATGGCTGAAATTGCCAAAAACTTAAGTTGTTAAATCTGAAAGAAAAAATCATTAGATGCTTAAACTTAATTCATATTTAAAATTCGGGTCAATTTATTAGAACACCCTATATTTGTGTTGTTCTTGCACGTGGCCGGGTTAGTCCATTTCATAAAAGGGTTACCGGTATGATACGGCCGACTGTCCTACTTTACACTATCTAAAAATATTGCATAATGATTTTCTGGTATATTTGGAGACGCCATAATAGACGAATCATCAAGGGGGAAGTTCTAGAGATGAAAACAAACCATGGCGATCTTTATTAAAGGCCAAGTCATAATGCAAGTCACGGCCAGAACTGGAAGCCTATCTCAAATCTCGTCCTTTCACGGATTACGAAGATTTTTGTTTAGGGTTGAGTTTAGTAGTTCGCTGCTGTAGTAAGCTTAAGAATTTTTTGCTTTTTACATTTTGAATAGCATTAGCTTATTTAATTGACGTAAGCATAAGATTTACTTTATTTTCATCGAACTTGCTGCTAGTCCTGGGTATGACGATAAACTATATCCGGCAGCAAGGACTCAGATCTTAATTGTTGTTGTTACCAGGTCAACCATAACTTGGGGTGTTAGGGTCCCAGCTATGAGCAAATAGTGAACGCACAAATAAAAACAACATTATGAAAGTGTAAAAATACATTTTTCATACATATATAAAACATTTATTCATAAAAAAGATTTGAAAAAGCCACTGTAAAAAAAGGTCATTTTTCATACATATATATATTTAAAAATTAGAACATTTATTCATAACTAAAATATTGAACATTTATAAAAATCTGATACCAAAATCATTATACATTTTATATAAAAATTACCGACAATCCATATTTATAGTAAACTGAACAACAGTATATTTTCAAAGTAAAATGACTTGCGATACATTTTATAATAGAATTAACACAATATATTTTACTGCAAAATGACCAACAGTACTTTTTATTTTTTAGGTGAAGACGGTTCTAGGAACATTCACCATAAACATTTTTGCCGTAGGAATACTCGCCTTAGGAATTTTCGCCGTAGAAAACTTTGCCGTATAGGGCAAAAATCCTATACGGCGACAATTTCGCCGCATTTTTTTAAATATACCTTGTTATCAAGTATACCTGGCTCACACTATTGTTGTTTTGATTTAAACATTTTAATAAGCGAAGTTATACGAACAGGTACTGAAATTTGTGGAAACTAACTGCGTAATTAAAAAGGAAGAGGCATTAGCAAAAAAGAAAAAGTGTGATTTATATCGAGGCGATGCAGTACAAATGAAGAAAATATATATTGATATCCATGCAAGACTTCAGCGGAAAATACTTTATTACAGTCCAACGCGAAAAAAAACAAACATTATTTACAAAGCATTGCTTGTAATTTTCACATATTCAAAATTATTTCTTGATAGGTTTTAGTATCTTATTTTTTTTTACTTTTTAATTTCCCTTTTGATGTTTGATCCTGTAAAAAAAATCCATATAACAAGGTACTTCTCATATTAAATTGAACGTTACTCCAAAAGAAGCGAAATTGTCTTACGGCAAAAATCATATACGGCGAAGTTTCATACGGCGAAAATTGCTGAGACGAGTTTTCCGACGGAAAAAATAGTTTACGGCGAATGTTCTGGAAACGGGCGAAGGCAAAAAATTACGTTCAAAAAATATTAAATTGAAAACATACAATTTTGGTATTAAATAACCCATAGAAGTGTTGATATGCCACTAAACAAAATCAAACAAGATTAGTAGAGATTTGAGATATGACATGGCCTTAAAATAATTTATAAAGTTTTATTGCGTACTTTGGTTTTAAATTTACTATAGTTATCGCTTTTATTTTCTGATAAAGTCATATATGTATGTCCGTATTTACAAAAATCAACACGTTTATACACACACAGCCTCATAAAGATAAATTTCAAAATTCTTTTTAAAATATTGGTGATCGATGAATTGTACAAAGCTTTTCCGCTTATGATTAGTAAATATAGTTTTTACTTAATAATGATATCACCTAACATTTTCAAAGTAAAACGGAAGTTTAAAAGGTTTAAAACTTTATAAATTATTCTAATTAAAATAAGAAAAATGAAAACAATTCTTGTAAAAATTCATTATTCATCGAAAATGTTTTTCTTAAGACAATAGTGTATATATCTTATTCATAAAAGCAATTAAAAGCTTTTCCAACAGACATTTTTTTTTTACGATTCAGAACAGATTTTCAGTAACTGTGGATCAAGTTTTACAAAATGAAATTGATGATTTAAATTCTCGAAGGATTTCTGCTTTTAACTAATATAAACATTAAAGTTTACAAAATATAATTTATCGAAATTTCATAAAATTAAACAAGTTGGCAGTAACAGATGTAAAAAAAAAGAATATTTTTAACAAGATTAACTAAAAAAATGTCTAAAATAATTTAATTTATTAGTGAATAGGTCCTGAAAGTTTCATTAAAATCCAACAATTATTCGATTTTGCAAACATTTTCAAAAAGAATGTTTTGTTCACCGCAAAAGAGAAGACAAAAATTTCGTATATTAATCTTTAATCAGCTACCACCCACTGACGAAAAAAAAAAAACAAGATTTTTAACAAAATTTCAAACCTTTCAAAATGGCTGACAAATATAATTTAATAAGCAAAAAATTATTTGGTCTTTCCTCTTAATAATAACAAAGATTTTGACGATAAAACGTTTTTTTTTATTACATTAGGGGCATTATTTCATCATGGTATACTCATTTTAACGAATCTGTGGAGATACCTAATTTTAAGCATTTAGCTTTTTTTTTTTAAAATATATATATATATATATATATATATATATATATATATATATATATATATATATATATGTGTGTGTGTTCGGGGGTGTATACTAGCAGCATGGCCCGGCGTTGCCCGTGTTTGATTCAAAAATCGATTATACTCATACAGCAATCGCTATCACTTGACTTAAAATATTTTTGCACTTCCTTGCCTTTAAACGAGTGCTCTTTGCTGTGCTGATGTTGCTACATGCCTTACTTCTTGCCTATCTCACATTGTGAATTTGTTCTAAGCTCTATACTAAACATTAAATCTGTTACGACAAAAGAATTAAACAAACAGTAATAAAAATCACAGAAATGCAATCTATGTTGTTATTCATTTAAACATCATCATCATTTAATAGTAATACAAATATATATATATAATATATTTAAAGTAATAATAATAGTAATAAAAGTAATAGATAGATACACACATATACAATACACACATACATATATACATACATACATATAAACTTACATAGTTACAAACCTAATATATATTTTTCAGTGTTTGATGCAAAATAAATGTCTATTTTTAAGACTTATTTTTATAACATTTAAGTATAATTTTATTTCTCTCGTTCAATAACCGGCTTGTATTTTTGTACTTAATTATTTTAATTTTTTCTTCCAGGCATAGTTTGCATCTGCTTATATATATATATATATATATATATATATATATATATATATATATATATATGAATTAAGATCAAATATAGATAGGAATGCAAGAGAATGATAGTATAAAAGGGACAAATAGGAAATCTTTATAAATCTGACAGGCTTTGCCTTTATCAACACTTGAGATGTGGCCACGAGGGTCGGCCAGGTGAAAGTGAGAGCAGGAGCACGTCCCTCTACCCCGGAGTTGTTTGGTGGAAGAAATCGGCTGTATTTATGTCGGCTGCAGTTAGCATCGTAGCTGGTTGGCAATATCTTTTGGTTGATGACTAAAAATTAACTTCCGCATTTTGACTGTACACATGGGTTTTATTTGGGCATCATGTGTATTTAAAGTAGTTTCCGGTTATTATTTTTAGTTAGGAGGACTTGTGCATGTTTATGTTTCATTTGTTTTACTTTTTGTGTATCGTTCTCTGAAAAAAAAAAACTCTGAGTCACCGGAAGTTAACGGCATTCGGACGTTTGAATAGCCGGCAGTAACTTCCGGCCGGGTTCGATATCCTTACCCGTGCTTTCAAATTGATTTCGTGCAAAAACAATTGTGTTTTTCCAATTTTTGGCGCTGTCAGAACCACCGCCGGGTAATTTTACGTAGTCCTGTAAAGTTTTGTTGAAATCGGTTGAAAAATGTAGGAAATACGATTCCATATATAAACGAATACACACACACACACACACACACACACACACACACACACACACACACACACACACACAATCTGCGTTTTATAATAAGTAAGATATATATATATATATATATAAACTTATCGCTCTTTAATTAATAATTGTGCGCTCTTGGCTACTGGCGTTTCTATACATCTCGTATATAATGTTAAAAATTCGAACCAGGCTTGAAGCAATCGGACGTCTATCCACACTGAAGAGCTGTGATACAGCGAAGCATGCTTGTATATGGATGACTATATATATATATATGTGTGTGTGTGTGTGTGTGTGTGTGTGTGTGTGAGAAGAGATTCAGATAGCTGGATAGATGTTTCACTAGCGGGCTAGCTTGTCCGTATATTTCAGTCGATATCTATCTATCCCAGTCTGATTAGATGTACCTATCTCAGTCTAAGATCTTAGTTCTATCTATCTATCTATCTATCTATCTATCTATCTATCTATCTATCTATCTGTTAAGAAATGGACAAGATCCGACAATTATAATCTATCTATCTATCTATCTATCTATCTATCTATCTATCTATCTATCTATCAGTTAGAATATCATTCCCGCCTTTGGAAATCAGCTGCCGCATTGAGATAAGCAACTTTTGAAATCGGCCAACCAGAAGCCTGAGAAGCATCTTCAAACGTTCTTGTCTTTTGATCTGTCTCCAATTGACCAATGGTCTTCAAGGCCGAGTTTATTTTGGTGAAATGGTCAAAGGCCGTTCCAGCTTCTCGGTTGAAGGGGACGGATGTAAACAGATTTGCAAAGCAAAGACTAAGATATGTCGATATTGGGATAGAGAGAGAGAGAGAGAGAGAGAGAGAGAGAGAGAGAGAGAGAAAAAAAATGGACGGACCGGAAAAAGAAGGCCGGTTTTGGTTGAAAAATTATCGATAATCAAAGGTGAATCTCGTGACTGGTTTGTGCTAATAATGTCTTTCGACTTCGTGTCTCTGCTATTTAAAATGGGCATTGCACACCCAGCCGCCCGTCAGCCATAACGAATGCAACTAGTCATCCGGAAAGGAACGAGACAGGAAGTAAGTCCGAACGTGAAAAAACTTTGTAAACTTGAATAAACTCGTTGGACTGTCAACAGTTCGGTCTGTTGTTAATTTTATTGCGTAACGACAGGCATTTCATTGCTGTTGTCGCAAGCGATGTTGTTCTTTCGGCTCAGTTTATAACAAATTTTCTTACCGCCAGAACATCATCTCGCGTACAAACTGGTGTACGCATGCGTAAAGAGAAAAATGCAAAGGCACAGATCTGTTTTCTGCCATTTCATTCTTTCATATTACGGAGACCCACGTTCGATTTTTTAACAGATCGCGACAGCTATTAGAGAAATGTGATTAAATATACTTTGATGTTTAAAAAAAATAATTCAATATTATCATTGTTCAGGTAATAAGCATTATAACATAGCACAAATAACGATATTGTGGAAAAATAATTTTCGACAATATACGCATTTTTTACGTATTTATGGTTATTTTTTAAACTTTTATCAAAAACGACATTCTTGTACATGTAGTTATGGATAATAATTATAAATTAATTGCTAATTTTTTAAAATTAATAACTATTTGTGTTCCGTTGTTGAGGTTAATCTGCTGATGTGTTAAAATTTTGGAATAATGCAATAATAAAAATCTCTCTGATAGATGCGCGATCTGTTAATGAGAGTTTTTGCGTAAGAGAGTGACTGGATAGAGATTTCGAAAAGTACCACAAAGGCTTGCGTATCTGTATTTGTCTCAAACTCAACGTCAAACGACACAGACCATCCCCTCCCCAACTTCCCACGTCTCACTGAATACAGTCTCAGTAATATTATCGTTACAGAGCAAGAAATCTCTAGACTTATCAAAGGCATTGGCTCTAAGAAAGCCACTGTCCCGGGCAAAATTTCATTGGTTGTCCTTAAAAATATCCACCCGGAATTATCCCCAATCCTAGCGAGGTTATTCAACCACTGCTTGAAGGAGAAAACCTTCCCAACCCTTTGGGTGATGCCCGGTTTTCAAGAACCCGGCCGTGCGATCTTCATCCTACCAGTACAGACCCATCAGTCTCCTTAGTATCATCAACAGGCTTTTTGGGGTCATAATCATTAAAAAGTTCGTCGATCACCTAGAAAAGAACAAGCTCTACAGCGACGAGCAGTATGAATTTCGATCGAACAGATCCACTGCTGATCGTCCTCACTACCATCAGTGAGGCTCTTGACCCACCTCGAGGACCATAGCCTTAGATATCTCGAAGGCCTTCGATAAGGTGTGGCACAAAGGTTTGCTACAGAAACTCTCCAGTTATGGAATAATTGGAAGAGTCTTCTCCATCATAAAATCCTTCCTAATCCTGAAGGTAGTTAGTAACTGCCAGTCCTCCGGAGCCGTAGTGGTTAACACAAGGGTTTCCCCAGGGGTGACTCCTCGGACCAACCCTCTTTTTGATTTACATAGCTGATCTGCCTAAGAATATACTCAGATCATTTGTAAACATCTATGCCGATGATAAGACTATATACGAGTACACCTCTGAAACATTTGATGGTCGGAGATTGGCGACAGATTCCGATTTTGCACAAACTACCTAATGGAGTATATAAACTGGCTGGTTACAAAATCAAGCTATTTACAGTCCATCATTGCCGATCTCACCACGAACTACCACCAATCAGGATGAACGGATGTCCCCTCGAGGAGGCACCGTACCTTTAAAAAAGACTATTGGGCCTCAAACTCGCCCCCGACCTCAAGTGAGACTCGTACATACGATCCATTGCTAAGGATGCAGGTAAAATGGTCGGCTCCCTGTATCGCTCCAGTAAGTACTTGACCCCCTCCTGCTATCCTCTACCTTTATAAGAGCCAGATGAGTACAAATGATGTAGAACTTAGATTATTTACACTGTCATCCTTATTGCCATATTCACAAAGTCCTGCCTTCTTTAGGTGATTCGAATTGAACCCTTTATTTCGTCCACTGAATGTTTCAGTTATTTCCCTTTAACTCAGCAAGTTTGGCTCACCACTGCTGCGGCCTGGTATTGAACTCACAACTCTTTTGGTCTAGTCACTAGACCTAACCAGCACCTCTATCCACTGGGCCATATATCCTTTGTATGAACTTTTGGGACTTATAAACCTAATGTCTCTGCTTTCATTTTTTTTTTCACCAGTGCACAGATTACAATTTTTCTGTTATTATTATTGCATTTTTTACCAGAGCTTATATTGCATTTTTTGTTGTTATTCATTGATTTTCCCTCGCACTCCTTATTACTGGTTCCCATATTGTATTCATTTCTATGCTTGGTCGGCTCAGGAGATTTTTGTGGCCTAGAATATATGCTGATTTCTTAAGTTTTCGTATTTTTCATTGATGCTCTCAGTCTGTTATTTCAACCTCATCCTACAGGATGTGGTGATCTACTTTCCCCCTCCATATGTGGTCAGCTACGTTGTGAATATGGCAATAAAGATGAGGATAACAGTCCAAATAAGGTAAATAATATAAGTAATCATAATGCCTCATCTCAGAGATATTGACAGAAATGGGGAAGCGTTGTCATATTTGGGCGGGAGCTTCCAAGACCTCACTGTCCATCATTGATCGAGTCTCTGAGCCCTTGTGGGTGAGGAATCATTCCCCCACCTTCCAACTCCACTCCAACAGGCGGGGATGTGGCAGGCCTCTCGCTGTTTTATCGTTATTTCCACGGAAAGTACTTGGACGAACTACAATCTCGCCGAGGCAAACATTCACGGCAAGGACACGTCAATGCCACTTACATAGAAGTAAACCACGCACATTCCCTCCCATATTCCATAGGGGAGAAGTAAGTTCCGCTTGAGCAGCTTCTTCCCGGGAACCACTGCCATTTGGAACCGACAACCTGTTTCTGTTCAAGGCTAGGGTTAACCGTTATCTTCCACTCCTACCCGCACAGATTGCCTCCAAAAGTAGCTCGCTACCTCCGGGTTGATATTCCTAAGGACATCCACTGGAATTTTGTCTGAGCCAGTGGCTCTCTTACGGTCAAGGCCTTTGATAAGTCTAGGTAATATTACTGAGATTGTGCCTGTAAAAAAAAAAAGATAGTGATTTTCCAAGCGTAGCTCAGATGTGGAACAAGGCCGAAAATATGGGGCATCCAGTGAGGATCGAACTCACTACTCAATCGTAATTGTTCTAGCGAGACAAACTTGCTAACAATTACACCGCCTCGAGGTGCCGAATAGTGATTTTCCAAGCGTAGCTCAGATGTGGCACAAGGCCGAAAGTATGGGGCATCCAGTGAGGATCGAACTCACTACTCAATCGTAATTGTTCTAGCGAGACAAGCTTGCTAGCCATTATACTACCTCGAAGTACCCGAGACATATACATAGATATGAAAATATTGAAATACGTAGATGTGTAGCTCGATGGATAGACAGGAATAGATTTAGATAGATAGATAGATAGATAGATAGATAGATAGATAGATAGATAGATAGATAGATAGATGAACATATCGAAATACCTAGATATGTAGATAGATGGATATATAAGAACAGATTGAGATAGAGAGATACATACATACATACATACATACATACATACATACAGACAGACAGACATATAGACAGACATACAGCTAGCTAGCTAGATAGATATGAACATATTGAAATACGTAGATGTGTAGCTAAATGGATATATAGGAACAGATTGAGATAGATAGATAGACATACATACATACATACATACATACATACATACATACATACATATAGATAGATAGATAGATAGATAGATAGATATAGATATATGCGAACTTACGAAAATACGTAAAGATATGTAGATAGATGAAAAGACAGGAATAGATAGATAGATAGATAGATAGATAGATAGATAGATAGATAGATAGATATGAACAGGCGGAGATAGATAGATATTAACAATCTGATATAGATAAGGATACATATATAGGCAAATAGATATGAATAAACTGACATAGACATGTATAAAATAGGAGAGATAGATGTCTCCATTTTTTTCTTTATTTATAACGGATATTATTTTATTCTAAGCTGGAAATGCCGAAGAATGAAGTTTTAAAAGAAGCTTAAGAACGAAAGAAAACGACGAAGGAAAAAAAGAAAAAAGAAAACAAAATTCTTCTGTTTTAAATTTATTCACCTATCCCCAGGAAAAAAATAACGAAGCCATAGCGGGGGTCACGATGCAGAGATCTAGGGATGAATAAATTACTTACCAAATATCATGAAATAAAGGAAGCAATTTTTCCGATTAAAAGTGACATTTTTTTTCGCTTTTCGTCGTAAATTGAAATACGGCTGACCATTTTCACATATATAATTTACCGATGGTGTTCTTTCTTTTATGGTTTGATATTTTGTTACAATCTTTTGTCGTTTAAAATATAATTTTAACTAGCAAATCGGAAAAATGGAACTTTTCTTTTCTTTTTTTTTCCTATTAATTATTTTTTTTAGCATTGCTCCACGCCAAATACCACGCCTGGGTGTCAACGTAAACCGAAAACAATTTTTCCACATTAGGAGAAAAAAAAAAAAAAATTAAAAAAAAGTCGAAAAACTAGGAGAATGATTTATCTTATAATATTTTCCCGCTATGTCTAATGCTTCTTTACAACTGACTGCCCTCACTGAATCAATCCACTTATACAAAGCGAGGGAGAGCCCAACAAAAACCTCTATCAATCGAACAAACCTGTTTTTGCAGTGGAAAAAGAAACCCCTTCTACGCACGTGAATCTGTTACAAAGCGGCCAGGTAACACACGTGGAATTCACACCTGGATAATAGTTCTCAAGGCAAAGCGATGATGTGGGATTAATAAATAATAAATACTTCAGATATCTTAGCGTGTGGATCTGCTATAATAAATTAAGTATAGGAGAAAAAGAAATTTAATATGCCGGGTTTAACAGAAAAATTGTCGAAATCGTGTAACAGCATAATTATCCATTCCACAAAATGTTTAATATCTAAAAAAAAAAAAAAAATAAAATAAAAAATAAAATAAAATAAATAAATAACTACTATTTGAATTTCTTTAGATATTTAGTCATCTTGACACCACTTGTCGTAAGGACCACTGAAAAGTCCTTTGAGTTATTTAGCTAGAAAGAGAACAGGTTAAAATCGTTTTTTGTCAGTCCCACTGTTTTTCCAACTGAGCAATGGCGAGAGGAAAAAGATCATTCAGGCCTTCAGTAATGGTACCAACATTCATACTCTCACTTCCATTTTCAAACACCATTCAAGAACAATCAAGAGAACGATGATTAAGTTTAAAAAAAGAGGGAACAGTAGAAAGGAAAACTGCATCAGGAGGTGACAACAGTAAGTGGGATCGTCATTTCAACTTACAGATAAAAAGATCAATAGAAAAGATCCAACTCAATTCATAAGACGTTTAGTACGTATGGCAGTCCAAAGAGCAGCGAAAAAAAATATTATTCCAGGATCATTTTCCAATTTATTCAAGATGATCTTCGCCCTTTCTAACCTTTCAACTTTCTGTCTTTGAGTAACAAGATGCCTCACAGATTTCACATACGATTTCATTTTCAAGTTATTTTTCACTGATTTTTGAACTGTCATAGTTGAAAACTCTTTTCTCACGTGACAAACCTCTTATGGTTTGAGTTGGATCTTTTCTAATTGATTTTGTTAGCTCTAAGTTTAAATCATGATCTCTTTCGCTGTTGGGACCTCTTCATCCAATTTTCTTTTCTACCCTTTGCTCTTTTCAAAATTCACCATTCTCTTGATGGTTCATGAAGATGGAAGCCAGAGTATGGTACCATTACTGAAAGCCTGAATCATTTTTTTCCTCTCTCAATAGCTCATTTGGGAAGACAGTGGGGCTGACACAAAAGGATTTAACCTGTTCTCTTTCTAGCTAAATAACTGAAAGGGTTTTTCATTGGTTCTTACGAAAAATTCTGGCTAAACATCTTATGTGAAACCCTGGAAAAAACTCAATGTTTTTTTTAGACATTAACCATTATTTGGGATGGGCAATTATGCTTTAACACGTTTTGTGGAATTTTGCTGTTACACCCGATATATATATATATATATATATATATATATATATATATATAGATATATATATACACACAATTTTTTGGGACACTTTGAAAAGTGTGCTTAAAGGTGTTTTTTGCTGCCGAGAGCTTTTGTGTTGATGAGTAGGTAGTTCAGCAGTAACTTTCCATTAATGGTATAAACATTGATTGATGGGTTTGTCTTTGGTTCCATGTTTTCTTTATTTGCACTTCAACTTAGGCGACACTATTTTTCGGACATGACACAAATTCCGGGTTTTTTAATGATTTCGTCGTCGAACGTCTACAGTATGAAAATTTTCTACAGGTGTACGTATTGTAGTTCTCACAAACATATACATATATGAACAATGCGGGGCCAAGCACAGACATATATCCATGCGTTCGGGTACGTATACATACGCAATTGTGGCCGGTTCGTTGTTGCGATTGTCTAGCAAAAAGTTCTTTCCACAAAGGTAGTTTGTGGCATTCTTGTCATCTTTCAGACCATTCTAGTGTATATATATATATATATATATATATATATATATATATATATATATATATATATTAATGTTTTTCGAGATTCTTGTGTCTAACGTTTTTGACTCCAGTGACTAATTCTCCTCGCAGCAACAATTTATCAAAACTCATTTTGAGCTGCTGCTAAAACGTGAATATTTCTAAATAGGACAGAAAGTGCAAAATTGGAATCCGAAGTCGCATTGGAATAGCAAAAGCTGCTTTGCAAAAGCTAAGCAAAGTATTAAGTAACAGAAAAGAATTCGTTAGAAACAAAGAACAGATTTTTGAACTGTTATGTAGTATCAGTCCTCCTATTTGGCAGTGAGACCCGAACAATATCCTCACAGATGAAGAAGAGACTTGAAGCAACAGAAATGTGGTTCTACAGAAGGATGGTGAGAATACCATGGACTGAACATGTGAGCAACGACGAAGTTTTAGAGAAAATGGAAACAAAAACGACACTTATACTTAACATCGGGAAGAGAGAATACCATGGATAGAATATGAATAAGAGGCTACAGAAGCATGCTGAGAATACCATAGATCGAACATGAAGAAGAGACTTGAAGCAACAGAAATGTGGTTCTACAGAAGCATGCTGAGAATACCATGGACCGAACATGTGAGCAAGGATACAATTTTATTAAAAAAAATGGAAACGAAAAGAACGCTTATAATTAACATCATGAAGAAACAGTTGACATTTCTATAGCACATAATAAGGAAAGAGGGCTTGGAAAGATTAATCCTCACAGGACAGATTGAAGGCAGGGAGAACAGTGGAAAACAACGCATTATCTATTGTAAATGAATGGCGGGGCAAGGTTTTGAAGAGAGAACAAAAAGACAAAGACCATTAAGAGCAGCAAAGGGTAGGACATTGTGGATAGCGATGATCGCTCACGTCCTGAAGGGACACGGCACATAGAAGAAGTAGAAACACATTTGAATTATATTAAATATTTATTAGGGAATTACTGACTAGGAATACCGAATCAGATTTCGATAAATTATTAAATATAAGCAATATTTCCATGAAAGATAATAAATCTTTTTGCCAACGTTCTGTAGTTGATGGAGGCGTTGTTGTTTTTGTTTGTATCGTTTAACACACGTAATCTAAAATCCTGCATTTGTTTATAAAAACTGTATTAGCCAGTAAAAAGAGGCACACATGAAAAAAAAAAAAAACGTTTATGCAACATTAGGAAGAACAGTTTCGTAAATCAAATAAATAAACGAACAAACAAACAGAAAAAAAATAATGGCGATCGTATAAACGAATTTATCAATACAACTCGGCCATCCTCTGAAAGAACGAAATACACGCACATTAACACATAGTCGTAGACGAAACAGTATTCAGAAATGTCTACGCACAAAGCATGATCTTTCAGCTTTTTAAAAAATGTATTTGACCCTTTATCTTGTGTCTGCTGTTGTGGTAACTCTTTTCTTTCCTCAAAAAAAGAAAAAAAATGACAGCACCAATTAATAATTGACTCTTGCCAACTCACACAAAATGCCGTATCATTGTAACAGTTTTGCATGACTTCCATTGCTTGTTCGCCATAGCAACACTTACAGTTGATTCGCCGCCTTTTTGTTCACACTAAATTTTTCCCGCTAAATTAATCAGCTCATCCACCATTTTGGTTTTTACGTTAGTTAGTTGTTTGATTTTGTTTAACAGCATATCAACATCTCTATGGGTTATTTAATACCGAAATCTAAATATTTTGAACACAATTTTATGCCTTCAACTACAGATAAAATATATTGTTGGTAATTCTACTATAAATATTTATTGTTCGTAATTTTTTATAAAAAATTATTGTTCGTTATTTTTTTTTTAAAATAAAAATGTATTTTATAAAATTTTTTTAAAGTCTTTTTTAATTTGTTTGGAGGTTCATTATTTGGCCATAGCTGAGATCCTAACAGGTGTTACCAACCCGAGTCAGGGTGGACCTTGGAACAACAACAATTAATTCCACACGCTCCTCAAAACTACAATCTCCCGATCAGAGGCCTTGCTACCAGATGTAGTTTGTCGTCATACCCAGAACTGTTTGCTTTCCGTATTTTATTTCTTTGGTTTGTTATTTTTTTTTTCGGATTAAAAATATTTCAGCGAATAGATTACAATTTGTGCTAAAATCAAGCGAAAACATTAGGGAAATCATTAAAATTTTATAATTAAAAAATTAAAAGTAAAATTAAGCTGCTTAGCAAAGTAGTAAAAAAGTGACATAAGCAAGACAAGTAGTGGACACAGAAGACTAGACACATGCAAAACTGCAATTTACAAAACAATATACATAAGATCTTTTGAAGACATTGGCAATTAAAA